CATTGCCGCATTTCCTTGCTAATCACAAAAAGGCTTCCCAGCAGAATCCTGGAATTACGCGTAGCATACGGGGTTCCAACGTTTAAGGCCCACAAGAAAAAACCTAAGTGTACCTACCTTTCTGCAACCTATGCACTATTGGAACCCTGCTCTTGTAGAACTACACCCTGGTAGAACCCCGTTTGTTGAAAACAAAACGCTAGACCGCTAGACCCTAAACCCTCACCCTTCGCTCTTGCGACGCTGCCCGGGCCCGCTTGCCGCTTACTACTCCGCGACCTGCTGTGCATAGATCCTGTCGGCAGGGAGGCTGACGGGCTAAAACCTGGCGGCTGTGAAGACGACAGCCCCTGTCTGGGGCACCGAGATGCAACGGTCTATCGCTCTTTAAAGAATGAGAGGCTTGCAACAAAGCCTACTCGACAACTATGGCATAAAGAAATCCTGCGCGTGACCTACAAGAAATAATAGCCGTGGCTTTTGGAAATGCTGGCGACGAAAACACATCTTGAGCATGCCCACGCATGCAAGCCGCCGGCCGACCCCCTCACATCAGCACAAGCAGAACAACCCCTTTCTCACAGCAGTTTAGCATATGGGTTTGTCAAAGAAAGCGTCCGCCACATTGAGCACCTTCGAATACTACCCAAATCGAGGCCCCTAATTTCCTGGAAAGCATCCCTGTGCGCTTGCCCCGTTCCTGCACACGTCCTCTCTGGACAAACAAAACCTCAGTCGGGAAGCTTCCAAAACTATCCATAGGAGGGGATCCGTTTTGATGCACATGTGCCCCTGGGCTCCATAAGAGCATTTCCATTCTGCAAAACTTGCAGTTGTTAGAGCCATGCGGATACAGAGGCAGGGCTCAGAATTTACTCCAACCTTTGGGACATAAAGTACAAACCTTCCTACCTTTGGATAGCTGGGAATGAAAGAATGGAAAAGAAAATGGAGACTGCTATAATGGTTATATAGGGAGTACCATCAGGATCCATTCCTCCATTCTTAGCTTACAAAAGGTAAATAACGTGCATGATCACCCGCCTGCAGTTTAGTTTGCGGCCGGAACCAGGGATCTGAGCCATTTGAGCTACAGTCTAAACTCCAGTATCCCCCTTAATAACGCCTATAATAGTCCCCATATATACTCCTCTATCTAACCCCCTTTAAGGAGTTTAGACTATAGCTCATTTGAGTTTGAAGACACTATTCGAATTCACAATTTTATGTCGGAGCAACACATAATTTGGGAGAGGGTGCGGGAAATCAAGCCCACCACCCCCTGGCTTCTTTGCAAACCTTTTTCACCCCTCACAGGCGATCCCTCTACTTGAACGTTCATGATAACTACTTATATGAGAGCTTATGACAGTACTTATCATCCGCCTAACTGGACTTGTGTAGATTACCCCAATTATAGGTAGCCCAGCTATAAGCAGTTACTTAGTCTCACGAGGCTTCAAGTAGCCCTGCCTGCACCTGGCTTGGAACCTGAGAAGGTGCCCTTTGTAGAGTGCCGTCCCGAAACCCTAAAACCCTCGACCATGTCCTCTTTATGGGGCAGGTTCTATTTTCCTTGAGTGTCAACACGAGGCCCCAATTAAGTTCCTACAGTAAGAGTTAGGCCAGGAAAATTCTACACGTCTTTAGTCTAACCAGACTGTGGAAATCCGAAGAATGCAATGTACCTACAGTACCCAGCTACTAAGAAGACACAGAACAACATGCAGCCAAGCGGCTCAGCGACGCGGGGAGGTATCATGCTCAGCTCTCCTGCACGATGCTTGAAAAGATTGAATTGTCTGGGGGTTTTGGGCTACGGGTATAGGGCGTCCTTGATCACCCCCTGTTGTTCAAGCCGGACTTTTGCAGCATGATTCCTTCAAAGCCTTGAACCCACAACAGCTGGGCGCTCCGGACTGCTCCGCAGAGCTTCGGACCAGGGCTGCACGGGCCTCCGTCGAAGGCACAATTGCATGGTTACCACCGCTGGTAGCTATGCGAAGTATGCAACATTTATTGAGGTTAAGGTTATATACGGATGATGATCCAAATTGTGTCGTAATGTGTGCTGCTTAGTGCTGTGAGAGTTACACATCATTTCATCCAGCTTGGGCTCCGGCGTATACATCTAGACTAGAACTTATATGAGCCTTTCAAGTTAGATCTCCCTACTTAAATGCCACACAAAACATGTGTTCGCCCATGGAAGTGCTTTAGCCAGTAAAGAACTGAAGTGAGGGTAAAGTTCAACTCGCCCCTGTCTAATCCCACCAGGCTGGACCTTGCGGGAAAAGGCCGGAAATCTTAAGGCGATGCCTAGGTTTTTAAGTCAGGCTTTCCCTACCTCTGATATCCCCCAATAAAGCCCTAATATTACCCAACTATGTAACCCTAACCTATATAATGGGGGTTGGAGGATGCTGTGCCTCACCAATGTTCCGAAGGAAGCCTAAATACAATGGAAACTCATAATCAAAAAAAACATCACTTTGGGACGCTTCAGGGAACTTGCGGCTTCACAAAAGTGAACCCCCCCAAGCCGTCCAGTCATTTAAGCAATGACTTAAGGCCACTTATGGTGGAACTTAAAAGGCTTCCGTCTTCTGATACATAGAAATTTCCTGGATTTTTAGCTCTAGTTGGGTTCTGGCGCTTAGTAAGGAATGGAGGAATGAGGTTTATGGGTCCATATAGTACTCCCTAGATTTCCCCTTATTCGTCTCAATAACTGATTCCCCTATTTCATGCTAAGCACCCTGAAGTGTTTCCCTTGCTGACTGCGAGGCCTGATTGCTCGACACTGAGAGCAGCTGTTCCGGCATTGGGACGACTGAAACCTGGGCTTAAGGTCAGGCAACTTATCTAGGGTTTAGGGTTGGCGTTATATTGGGAGAATGGAAGATAAAATGGAAACTACGATAATGGGTTATATAGCGATTATAGGGTATGTATGGAAAAGAAGATGGAAACGACTACCTTATAATGGGGGGTATATATTGGAGTTATACTAGGGAGTTGGGCTGAAGAGGCTTCCTTGGAAAGTGGAGAGTGGGCAGAGCATCTTTCTGACATGACCTTTGGTGAGCGCTATGAAACCCTAAACCCCAAACCCTGAATCCCAAACCCTAAACCTTGATGTCAGGACCTGCATGCCGCATGCTTGGCCGCCGGCGTGGCAGGGAGCATGGCCAACGGCCTTCGGGTGTTCCAAGAATCAAAAAAACTAATTAGGATTTGGGTTTAGGGTGCAAACTTCCGTTGTAGAATAGAGGACCTCGAGCAGCATGTATTTGCTGATGGCCAAGGCGAGCAACCCCATATCCTAACTTCCATGCGCATCTGCCTGTGTAGGTGCTAGACCCTCAGACTCAACCTCTCTACACTCTTAAGCCATCGAGAGACCATGCACCTCACCTGGAAATCCTGAGGCCCAGTACCCTGAAACCTTGACCCTCGAAACTTGGAACCACATGCGAAACAGTCGGCCAAGGCCTGCGTTGCTGCGGCCAGGCGCTCGCGGGACCAGTCCTGCTCAAGTTTCGAAGTACGGCTTAGATCATGACAAGGGGAAAATGCGCAGGCAGTTAGAATATCACTTGGATTGATGATGACTGCACAGTGGTCGAGTGCGGGGTTTATGCGCCACAGGATGCTGCAGAGGCACTATACAGTTTTGATTGAAGATTTCCACGGCCCAGAGATTACTCGAGGGTGTTTGCGGGTTACTAGACCATTTTGACATCTCACTTCTGACTTGACATGCTCTCACAAGTCTGCAGAAGCACGTCCAACGGCTGAGCTCCCATGCCATCCCATATAACCGTCTTGGACCGGGCAGCGTGTTTTCAGACAATGAGAAACATACCCAAACCAAAATATGTGGAGATATTCTGCAAGATGTTGGTTCTCAAGACGTAGCTTCTATGAAGCCTGGCACATGTTTAGCTGGAGGAAATCCTTGCCTCCCGAGTGAAGATCAAGAGCTCGTCGCAAGTGTCGCCAGGCTGAAGGCAGGCACGCGCCTTAGCTCAAGAACAGGGAGGATATATGGGGAATGTACTCAGATTCCAGGATCATCCTGGCATTATGCAGAAATTGTTTTGGGAAACTCGACATTATGATTTCAAGCTAAATGAACAAAGATTGGAGGTACATCGGGCATATCACAAAAGCGGAGGCTTACCGCCATACGCGCCAGGACCAGCTGAGAGGTCGTCTTTGCATGCCCAGTGCTTCATGCCCTCGAACACGTCAGCACCTAGCAAGTCAGATTGCAAGAGCCGGCTTATGAGCCCAGTATCCTTAATGCATTACTTACAAGCCACAAGTACCTCGTTCATTTATAGACTTTAAGCCAACGCAACATGAGGGGCAATTGCTGGGCGCAGCTGTCTTTTTGCTGCTGCCCAGATCATCCAACTCCTCGCATGTTCCGCGCGGAGGCAGCTCTGACAACAGAAAGAGTTCCAGCCAAGCAGGAAAGAGCATTAGTAGTTTCCATTTTGTTTCCCATTATCCCAATATAACCCCTATAGAACCCCTATATAACCCTATTATATACTATAGCAGTTTCCAATATGATGGAACAAATCTTCAGCAGCTTGCAGAGGCAGACGTACAAGCCCCACCAAAGTGATCCAGGAATCAGCGCCAAGAAACTTTGGGCAGTGCAACAATTTCCAGAACCTTCCTTGTACCCTTAATTGGGGGTATATGGTCCCTAATACTTAGTGGGCACTTAGGCCCTAATAGAGGGTAGAAGGAGGGTCTAGGTTCTTCGACCGCACAGCCAGCAACTCTGTCTGGAATCGAGCGGTGCTGCAGAGGATTGAGATGGGGACCTTCCCGAATTCGCGGGAACCGTGTGCCAAGCCGTGCATACTCCAAAGCGGTCACGGATTAGAGGATGCTGCTGTTGAAGTGTCAGCACTTCGCGTGATTCCAATGCTTAATGCCCACATGAACTGCTCAAGCTCGGGAGGGTGGCACCCGAGCTCCTTCCAAAACCACCGGGCGCCACTCCTCCCCCGGCAAAGGCTCCTCTACCAAAAAGCGGAACTCCCAGGCAGGAGGGTTGCAACCTCTCACCTCTCCTTTGCAAGCTGCAGAAACCGAGGCCGGCCTAATGCCTGTGTACGCAGCTGCTGCCCGGATGGACTCAAATGGGATCCAAGCGCCGTCCAATCCCGCCACTCGCGCCTGCACGGGCTTGCATCCTCCAACATTCCGCCATTGCTCTCTCAGTTGGGTGAGCGCGTGCCTCATGTTCTGTGACTGGGTGACATATTCCAGGTTCTGGACATGATTGTTTCCTCGATTCATGTCCTTATGGTTCACTTGCATGCTTGGTGAAGCTGGATGGCCAAGGAAGGTTCCGGCAACCAGCCGGTGCACCTTATAGCTCCGGTCAGACTTTTTGATGGTAAAATAGCCACGCACGGTGCGGTGCCCATACGATACCATCTGTGTGCCCACACGCGTTGCTGATCTTACACGCCCGAAGTTGCTGACCCACAGGTTCGAAATGGTACCTTCATCGCCTGCATGCACAGCATCCCTCCACACTTCATCTGGAAGTAGTTCCACATCCGCGGCATCTCCGTTCTTGAACTCATAATTGCGCAGTCGGACTGTGCAGCTTGTGGCCACACCAGAGCAGCACCGCGAGACAGACTGGGCAGATACCCCAGCCGCCCTGGCTGCATCAGTCCTCGAAGCTTCAAATGACCAAGACTGATGCCCACCTTCTCTCCACAAGACAGGCTTCCCGTGGCGTGCGGCCTGTTTCCGTGCCTGCCCGGTGTCTCTGGCCCTAGCATGTCGAATGTTATCACTGGGAGTCACATACTGCAGGTTCTCCTTGTGGTTGTTTTCACGGTTGCGGTCAATGTGGTTCACCTGCCACTGGGCAGCATCCGGCCACGGCCCAAGGAAAGCGGATGCAACCAGTCGGTGTACGAAGTAAGACACTCCACCTATTTTCACACGTCGATAACCATCATCAACGCGGGAGCCGCAGCTGATAACTCCCTTTGTGGACTGCACGCGACCGCAGGAGCTCACCTGCCAGCAGCTTGCAAACCTTCGAGCTTGATTCAGCCAGCAGACCTGCATAAAGAGATAGGTTGCAGCAGGCTCAGACTCGCAGATGCGTGCCAACAGTTGGCACTGCCATGGCGATGCAATGCATTGCCTTCGCTGAAAGCCAAACCGTGGCCAACAATGCGATCCCCAAAAAGCCCGATTTGCCTCCTTCATATCTTTATATATATATATGCTTAATATGCTTATTTGTGTATTTATTTACATATTTATATGTGTGTGCGTGAGGTGGTTTAGGTGCAGCCATAGATTTCCCGAGACTGAAGAACAAGATTGTTAAGAGGCGTTTGAGCTTCTGCGGCCTCTTAAATGAAGGTCAACCATCTCACCCAGAAGCGAGATAATCCGACCAGTTGAAGACCGAATCCGACAAACAAGGCAAAGGCAGCCAACTCCAGGTGTTGTTGCACTCATGAGATGATGTCTGGCCTACAGCCCAGGTCAACGTGCCACGGCCAGGGCCACCCAGCAGTTCCCTCAGCCTCAGGCACAGCCACAAACTTGTCTAAACTTCAACTGGGGTCGCCTGCATACTAGTCAGCCCTCCCCACTGCCCAAATGCGCTTGGGCCAACGCACTCGGAAGAGTTCTACCTCAGCAGGCTTGACTGTAGCAATCAGGGTCGGCAGAGGGCGAGGCCACAGACCAACATACCTCGAGAGGCAATGTGAATCTTGCTAGTTGACAGTCTTGAAGGAGCTTTCAAGAGTGTTACCATATTGAATGCATGCGCCCTTTCCCCTTCCATTTGCCAGAACTCGCAAACTTCGCTGCAACTGTCATGCCAATACGCTTCCATCATGAGAGCAAAACTGCCATGCCCATACCACCGTTGTAACAGTCACATGCTATGGTGGGCACAGCACTGGACTTCCACATAGCGAGCAATACTTACAATGGGACCAGGTGCGAGCAGGACCAAAGAGAGATGTCCAATTCATCTCTCTCCTCTCTTGATCAAAACCAGGCAAAAAACTCAACCACCAGGGCGGCAAAAGTCCTAACAGCCCAGGGTACTTAGTATGGGCGCTTCATCCTGGAATCCCGAGACACCTAGTACATACCCAATATAAATACAAGTATTTACATAACAGTACGCCAAGGAACCCTGGAATCCACGTAAAAGGCTAAGAAGACCATATCGAGAGCCAATATTTTCCCGAGTTCAAAGAAGGCGGGCCAAACACTCGCCCGGGCGCCCTCTGGGCGCCCGACGGAGTTTCCAAGCTCGGGGCCTAAGTCCCGTCGCAGACAGCCGACACCTCAGTCGATTCTAGGCAGCAGAGGTTATGTACAGAATGCATAGACAGGGCATGGGTACCGTCCAAACTGGGAAAGCCACGGGTCAGTGCCACCTGCCTTGAAAACCCAGTGCAGTTGCTAAGTGGGCCCGTCCAAGAGTGTGGGGATGGATCAGGTGTCAGCGTTGACGAGGATCTGCTGCAGACTTAATCTAGGTTCCCCAGTAACCCCACAATATTAAGAGTACCCTGCTTAATGTTGAGCTTTAAGAAAGACACACCAAAATAAAAAGGGAAAAAGGGTATTACTGGGGTACCTAGTGATCATAACAGCGTGGGAGGCTGACAGGTGTTTTCAAGTTCCACTGCTTAAGGCCTCGTTGCACTTGTTGCACTTTAGACAAACCAAATGCAAATTGCCAGAATCAGACTCGTTGCCGGTATCTTGAACTCTTTGAAATCAAATCTTGGACAAACACAGGGGGTACCTTATCATCCCAATCTACCCAAATCATATCTCCACCCCACCCTTATATGCCCTTCCTATTCCCATCCCATTATTCCCATTTCATAGTCCCTCCCTCTTGTCTCCCGCCTCCCCTACCGAGGCCATGGATCAAAGGGTGTGGTTATCTAGTATGTGATGTCAATTCATCAGGATCTGCGGCCCCAACACCCTACACTGAAACGCCAAACCTCAGACCCCCTTCCAAGCCCTACATGAGCCGAAACCCTGAACACTGAACCGTACGTTGCGGCGCCTGCTCGGCCGTTCAACTGCGGCTGCGCCGTGAGCAGCTCACACATTTCGATGCGAGCCTTCGTAAGTTGAAGGAATATGCGCTTCAGCAAGCTTTGTCGTGGGATGGCTGCTCGTGGTAAAATATTATGATCCACAAGATCTGGCTAGGCCCCAGCTTCGGTGGCAAGAGCATCTGCGAATCCGAAGACCCCTCTACAGACCCTGTCTTCGCAATTGATCGTGCAACACCTCTGAATTGCGCTCTGCCTCCATGGTCGCGTTCTGCCATCCTTGGCACGTAAAGAATCCCATGCAAGGGACTGGTTGGGGAATCTACTATTCTGTCAAAGGCCTGCCAGCAGCATTCCAACGAGAAGTCTAAGCCTCCCAGGCCCCTTTTCAGAATCCTCCTAGGCAGATCCTACCCTTACGTAGGGATGTAAGCAGGCGCCGCCACTTTGAAAATAGGCTACGTCAGGCGTGAAAAGCCCGGAAGCATCCAAAAGCTGTAAGGAATCGCTCTGCGTTTTCTTCACAAGACGAGATTGCGCATGCAAATCAAGAAGCTCGCCTGACTTCGAAAGAGAATGAGACAGGGGTCCAGAAGATCTGCGAAAAATGAATTCAAGAACCTTCAGATCTGCAACATACCTGCCTCACGTTGGGGAAGTCAATACATCAAGCGGGCCAAAATAAGCATGATAAAGGGCAAGTAGGGCAAGCAATACCTCTGTCATGAATGTAGCCATCTAAGCTACAACCGTGCTTTTTTGGGGGTCACTGCCATATTTCCACTACTGCGGCTGCATGTCCGCAACCTGCTTATTGCAGATATAGCCTCGCAAGAGCCGCAGCAACAAGAGCATGCTCAATAGAATCTCAGGGTTACAGAATGATGAACATTCGGAAGCTGAGGCCTACAAACCAACTGTCTAGCCTGGCCTACTGACATGGCCTAGACTATACTATGGTCTGCCTTGAGTAGATAGAATATGGGGGTATCTTATTATAATATACCCAAAGCCATATTCTATTCACTTAAGGGGGACTATACACTCATAGAGGTGGAACAGCGCACTAACTTCCAAGTCGGCTGTTGGGTACATTCTAGGGGGCTGAGAAATTACCGCTCCATGCTATGCTTCCAGACGTGCTAGAGCGGAATATTCCAGAATCTTCAGCCTTCTACATTGTGATCCGTTTCAACCCACTATATGCCCAGTGCGCATGGCGTTTTCCATGTTCTTTGGCACTTCATTCACCACCTTTCTAACTAAACAGGCCACAAAATCACAACCCTGCACAACAGCCCTTTCGACAGGACTGTTTTGGCCCAGGCAAAAAAACCAGCTTAGTGCTGCCCAAGTTCGCTCTTTCCCTGGCCGCGCGGGTTCCGGATCCAACCACAGCCCTGTGACCTGGCGGCTGGAGGAGGTGCCCAACGCTGAAGATTCTGCTGCGCATGCGTGCATACATGTGTACATAGACATACACAACTATGTGTCGATAAGAATATACATATATACAGATATGTAGGTATATCTATTTTGTGTAGTTCATGCCTGTGCATGTCTATCTGTGTCTGTGTGTCTACATGCACGGCATGGCACGGCATGCGTGCATATGCATATGCATACGCATACACACTTGTATATGCACACATGTATATGTACATGTATATGTATAAGTACGAAGATGCATATGTGTGCCCGCGTCTATGTGTGTACGCGTGTACGCACGTTTGGTAGGCGATAAAGATGGAGGCTGGGTTCATCAGCATCCTGAATGCTTTCTGAGTGCGTCTTCTTTTGAGTCGTTTAGAAGTATTTCTCCTCAAGATAGCTCCTGCCTTCTGGTCGCTGCAGATGGTCTCCGCTATATGTGCATGAGCACACCTCAGTGAAAGCCCATGTCGCCTGGGGAGTGGCTTACCGAAAGGGACTGGAGAAAGGAAAAGAGCTACTGCGGCAAGCTTCGGCCTGGGTTACTCAGATGCACATCCTGTATCCTACGTATCGGCATAGGCGGACGCACCCAGATCGTAGCTTGCCCTGGCTCTTCTATCTTAATGGCTTTTTGCCGTATATGAACGCTGCAACGTCCAGTGAGAACTCAAAGGACCAAGTCCACTGCGTTGGTGGAGAGAATGCTCCATTGAAGAAGACCTTAGCGTTTGGCAAACGCGGATAATCCCAGCCACGAGGGTTTCAGCTTTGGCTGTTGTGATAGCCAAGTTTCCTCACCTTTTCCTCAACAATTTCTCAATCCTAAACTCCCCAAATCCCCAAAATCCGAACCCCAATCCCCTGAACCGAAACGGCACCCCCTCCTGAGGAAGAAACCAGATGTTGGTCTCGCAGGGCTGCGGCTTCGGCAGGAAACTGAGCCAGACGGACTTGTGAGGTTTGTGGGTTTAGTTAAGTTGCTGCCTTTGAGATTGAGGTTTCAGCGTTGGGGGGTGTGATTTTATGTAGGCCCCAAACAGCAAGCAATCCCTCAACCCCGAACCCCCTGTGGAAAACCCTCCCAACAAAGACAAAAACTACTTGCCCAGGAATGTCCCACACTTATGAGCCATATTGAAGGTCACTGTATCAAGGATCCTGTTCCTTTGGGAGACATTGACAAGACCTACTGTAAATGTTGTCCACTGGCAAAAAGGGAGAACGGCACACCTCTAGCTCCTCCTTTATCCCAAGACGGTGGACGTCTACTCCCTCCTAAATTCCTGAACCCCCAACCCCTGGGGACCGGGGAAGAGACCTCGCCAAATTCATCCCAGCCCTTCTGCTAAAATGCCTGAAGCCCAAAGCCCTACAACCCAAATCCTTGCAACCGCAAAGAGGGACACCTCCCTACGTTCATCCGCTGCCCCTAGCGGCCTCCCTGACCCAGTCGGCCACTGAGGCCACGCTGGAGAGGCGGCCGCGCGTGGCGGCGATGGCCTTTTCAGGCAAGCTCTCTCTTTCAAAAACCCCAGCTTCCTGGAACTACTCATTTTCAAAGATGCTCCCGTACACCCACATAGCCCGATGCGCCTGCGTCACAGACATCGCCGGTGTCTCCGTGACGAGTGATGCCAACGCATCCTCAGATACTTGTGAATTTGACGGAAAGCTGGGCATGTGACTTACGGTGAAACTCCTCAAACAGTATATAGGGCCTCAACAGCCCTACAAAAACCGCGTGATAGCAGCACACATAGATTTGGCTTGCAGGGGCCTGATTCAACAATGGCACAGATTAGCGCCTGGTTGGAGGCAGAGACAGTGCCACAATTTGCCGTGAAATTCTAACTCCTGAAGCAGAACAGGGACAGCTCCACTAAGTCACGCCCGGAAGGTAGCCTGACAGCCTCCAAACTCCCACTGATACTCCACTGAAGATTAGGTGTCATATTGCCGTGTTCATGAATATGCTGCGGGGGATAGGGGGTTTATTCTAAGGCATCCCAACTGAGGCCCCCGGCAGCGGGATCCTCCCGCTCTCCGAAGCACATCGCGTCGGGCGGGGTCAATGCAAAGGGAAGGACACAGCGGGGTCTGAAATGGAGAACTTGGACCAACCACTCCTTTTACAAGACAAGGGTCTATAAAAAACAGGGGCTCTGGGCTCCATGCATGGATCCGAAGGTTTCTCTTCTTCTTTTTATCCGATTGTCCAATGTCCGATTTCAGCATAGCTACTTTCTTTGCTCACAATTAAAGCCAGACTGTAGGTTGAATGGGCTTCCAATATACCCTCTGCAACAAGCAGGGTGGCAGCTACAATTGATTGCTATGCACATGTGTTGTCCCGCTTGGAGCTGCGGCCGGCCGGACGCGCAATTGCTGTTAGTTCAGGGTTTAGGGCTAGGGTGAATTTCTACATAAGTGCCCCCAAATAGGACTCCTTTCAAACGAAATTATAAGCAAACTCCGACACAACTCACACGGTAATCACTAGATATTCGCCTGCGTGTTGTGACGTTGGGTGCATGCCAGGGTCTGCAGGTACTAAAATGAAAGACTAGCAGCCTGTGCAAAGCTGCAAAGCAGAATCGCTCCAGTGCTTTCGGGCGCATTACCGCAGTCGCGGCGGAGCAACGACGCAAAAACACACAGGTCAATACTGAGGCTAAAGCTCAACCTTGCACTTAGCAGCCTGAACGCCACACCTAAACGAATGCCCTCGAAGCTGCATGAAGGCTCATGGACCGTTACAGCTGGGGTCGTAAGTCCCCCGAAGTAGGTTATAAGCATGGTAAGATCCTCTCCCTGAACCTTCAGGTACAACCAAGAAGCCTAGAGCAGGCTTGGCAAACCTGAACACGCATCGCAGCCTCAGGATTGCCGCAGGCGGCACACGCCATACTCTCTACACCCGTGGGCAAAGCCTTAAAGAGTGTTATATAAGGGATTACATAAAAGGGAACTACTATGGGGGTTATTAAGGGGGATACTATAGGAGTTTCAAATAATTTCGCCTGTCAAGGCCTACAGTCTTAAATATGATAAAAGGCCCAAATCTCTGTTTCTGTTCTTGGGCTACTGAATTGCTTGGGCTTTGGGAGAGGCGCTATGCAATCTGACGGTTCCTGCTTCTCTTGGGTTCCTGTTCTTAAGCAACTTAAATGAAGTTACTATAATATGGAAACCCCAATGTTTTAGGATATGCTCATAATATGGTAAGCTATAATTGAAGTCCTAAACAGCAAGCCCAGTCTAGTGCTGTGCCAGGAGCTCCCACACGTTGGAAAGCGCGCCCTTCACAGCATGTGCGTTGGTTTTGTTGGGCCACGTCATCAAAACTGTTAGTCTGCTACAAATGGGCCGGCCGGCGCGGGCGCATACCAAAGACGCTACTGGTACTGAACTGGACTGCTTGAATTCGACAATACCTCGATTGAAACCCGTCGCAGGTGAGTCGGGTCGAATACTGTAAGGCGGGTCCCTGACCCTAAGGAACTACACAGAAACCAGCAACATCCAGCTGCCTGAACCCATGCAATGTAGGGGAGTATTGATTCAGAACGAGGGTTTGGGAGCATTCTACAGATATGATGGTTACATGAGGTCTATAGGGGTAGAGTACGGGTACGAAAACAGGCTTCTACAGTATGTAAACCTGCTCTGCGATCTTTACAGGCTCAGGTCTGGGCCCTACGGCCTGAGTCCAAGCAATATAGAATAATAAAATGTAGTAGAATATAATAAAATAGAATCTGGTTTAAAATCATATGTATCGTATGCTATAGTATAGTGTTTCTATTTTGCCCTATCCACACCATAGCTGAGGGGGTGATCGCGGATCTCCGCAATGCATTAAACCCAGCCCTGCTCGCTTCACGAGCTGGCCTCAGAGAACTGCTATGGTCGAACAGGATTGGAATGCCGAACATGTAGGAAGAGTGCCTAATTACTGTCCTCCCTCAGTGAGAAACCCATACTAGCCTTGCAAATATGGACCGTTTGGCAGGGAAGTTCAAGGGAGCACTCGGCGTTGATCTTCTGGCCGCAGCGAGCGATGACTGCGGCAATGTGTTGGCTATCCTGAGAAGGAATGGGAGCAGAGGAGGGAAGGAGAGAGGAGTAGAAGAGGGAAGCAGTGGACATCTTTGATGTTTACTAACACTATTCGTACTATTACTAGTATTACGATTACTATAAGGAGAGCTTGGGAGTTTGAGAATGCTGGGCTTGATGTTCAGCAAGTCGGGTGAACGCTCAAAAGACTTTGGTTTTGTGGATGTTTTCAAACTTGGGAGGTACGGTTCTGGCGGCAAGCCCAAAGCGAGTACAGGGCTGAGGCGTCCTACACCAGCGCTTACTTTGCGCTGGGGCCCGGGCCATTGATGGCTCAACCTCAGCGCCAGGGCCAGATCAACATCTGAGAATGCGCTTCCAAACTAACTCGGCACTCCTGGATCAACTGCAGGGCTGATTACTTTTCAACTTGAACACCTCTCAGGTAGGAATTTAGGCTAAGGCTCCATTATTAGGCAGGAAATATAGCAGCTTGTGTCGGCGCACGGAGGAACATAGCGCTGAGCTCCAGGCATTTAGAGTCAAGTCGTAAGCGACGACCTCCTTCGTCTTTTCCACTAACGGCCTTAGAACCAGAGGGAAGCATCCGCCCGGGAGAGGGAATCTAAATTCATGCATCCTGAGCCTGACTGACTTCATCTCAAACATGCAGCGCGCTTTGTGCCGAACAGCCGCCTGAACCCAGCCAGTGTGCACTGCCCTTGGGTGAAAGCACGACTTGGTAAGTACTAGCCTCCCTCAACAACTTGTATGCTTGGTTCTTCTGCCAAACGTTTCCCGCATGAGCAGCTCCAAGAAACACTGCTGCAGAGCGCTTTAGCGCCCAATGCAGGACTTTCACTTCCCAGGCTGAGCAGTCGCGCTCAATAACCTTCGCTCGCTTGACGAGCTGGTCGCAGGACAAGCCTGCGTGGAAGCCAGAGCTGCTTGGACATGTAGTCCCACTTAAGCAGAAAGAATATGGCCTTGGGCTTTGGGTATATTATAATAAGATCCCCATATGCCCCATATTCTATCTGCTTCAGGGGGACTATATCATTGCTGCAAACAGGAAGGGAAGAGTAAGAAAGAACAGGAAAGATGTGCACAAAGATGACTGCTTTTCGTCGCCATGCTGGCAGGAACCCGAATACAACGGGTGCAATGATGAAGCACAAGCGTGGCTCCAGCAGCCGCTAGTCTCACCGCTGGTGCCAGAAAGAAAGGCTTCAGGACGAAATGTGAAGGTTGGCCGCCCAATAATAATCTATGTTTGAACTTCCTCAATATGTAAAGCGATGGATAAAGTTGAAGCAAACTCCCAGCAAGGAGATGCGTAGTCCCCCTCATAACTATCATCAGCCCGTCATCTTCCTGGAGGCCCACCGGGAGCTGCTTTCAAATCCGCTGACGAAAAAAACCCTAAACCCTGAACCCTAAACAGGCTCTGACGCAGCCTTGTGGACTTTTGTTGTTTTTGGTTTGAGTCGATAACCCCGTAAACGTAGGCGGTCCTCATTTATAGAGATGCCTAGATGCAAGCCATGAGTTTGAGAAGCCCTCAACAAATCCCTAACATTCGGTCCAATGTAATGTGCCACAGTTTAGGGCTTAGTACGGTTTAGTGCTCGGAGCTTCGGCTCAATACATGAGGAACACCCAAAACCCTCTGTTGAAGCTTGAAACTTGACTCTGAAACCTCATCAAGTCCCTCGGTTGGCCCCTGAAACCCATTGAAAAAAAATAGTAATATATAGGGTCCCCCATTAAAGCCATTAGGGAAAATAGTAAATATCCCGGTGGCCTAATTAACCAGGTCCTCACCCGCAAGAGCAAGCCTTGCAGGACATCCGTGTGGTTCACGACCAAAAACTTGTGGCCGTCTGCGGAGACCTCACTGAGTCTGACTGTGGTCTGGGTGACAGAAGCTCACTACCGAAATGTACCCAAAAAAGCAGCAGGGCTTAGCACATGAGGATGACTGAAGGTTTCGCGTTCAGAGTTTCCCAAGGTGATAAATCATTTTTTAAGAGTTCATTATCACCACTTTTACGGTCAAAGGTGGAGACTGGTTTTAACAAATGCCAGCTGGGTGCTGATCCCTCTTCACTATCTGACACTCTTCACGGCTCCCCATAATCCTGGCAGTGCTGCGGCTTCCTATGACGATCGGGGCAAAGATGGAAGTAAGACGCCGCAGGCTCCATTTCATGTAAAATACAGAATCTCCGCAGTGAAGGCACCAGAAGGTGCAGCTGAGATCTAGGGATTCGCTCCGCCACCTTGCAGATGATGGATTCTTCAAAACCAAGTCCCGTTCATATACCGCCAGCTGAAAACACTCCTTTTTCATGGGAACTCCCAGAACGGATCCGCCTACATTGCGCAAGTGACGACGCATCAACCTCGAGCTCCAGACGATAGTCTGTGAGTGGATGTGGCCGTTTGGGACTATTTGTCCTGCACACGCACGGCTGACAGACCTAGTTGGGTAGAGCCACTGCGGAGAACTCTTACTTTCGCTTCCCTGCGAACCCCCTGCAAGTCTAACGGACTCAACCAGCCACGAAGGTCAAACACTTCCTTTCGCGACTTAGACTGAATGCACATGACCGCAGGTTAGATGTCTGGGAGTGTCATCGGCACATGGCAGCCCCTGCAACGAACTGAATGTTTGGAGCAGGCAAGACTGCCATCGAGCCCCAGACCAGAATCAACTACATACCTCGAGTTGTGGAGCTTGGCGCCCGTTGAGTATACTTGGACAGCAAAGATGCTCCTCAGCCACCACAGTAGTTGAAATGCCCGAAGACCAACAAGACTTCTAGTCAGCCTAGCCCTTTCAAATAATCTTTCTCCTATTCCCAAACCAACTCGTGGTCCTGGCGCGGCAGTCGGGAACCTAAAGCAAAACGTGGACACCTCGGGCTGCTTCTTCCCTACAGGGATCCAAGGCTTTGGGGTTTAGGGCTCAGGGTTTTGGGTTGAGGGGTTTAGGGTTTAGGGGTTTCTGCTTCAGGGTGAAGAGATTATATTTTAGGGTTTAGGGGCAAGGCTGGTCCAAAAACAGTACTAAACCTGACTGGCGGACACTACCTAGATGCTCAAAACTACCAGTTGTTAGGGACGTGACTTTGGCAAAGCAAGGCGTGGGTGAAATATGCTTATCAATTCATGGCCTGTTCCCAAGTCATGTTGCAACAGGTGCTCCTGGCGTAAGGTCGCGGATTTCAACACTTGCACGGCCACAGCGTAAAAAAGCAAAAGGTCACGGATGTGGAGCGTGGTGCTGCAGGCCAGGAAGGGTTTTGCATTTCAGGCAGGGGCCTTTGAAACTTGAGCACCTGCGCCCTTAGCAAAACATCAACCAGATTCCGAGAACGAAAACACACCCCTGAATCCCAAAACGGCTTAAACCCTACAGCGTCTGCCCAAGCATCCATTACCAAAACACATCAAATTCCAAGCCCCAAGCTTTGAACCCTACACTTTCCAAATGGGAGCCAGGCCAACTGGTAGTCTTCACCATCTGCGATGCCCATAACCATCTTTGCCTCCGTGCCAAGTGGCTGCTTTTGGGCTTCTTGCCCGAAAGCACTTTTAGGTGAGATCTGGTGTGCAGGCTGTTAGGCGATTTCGCCCCAGACCTCCCTAAAATCCGCAGGACATGAAACGGGGGCGGGCTTGGCGCGACTACGGAATTTCTCATGCTTCTGCGCTCCTCCATTCCTCAACCTGTCACAGAGTCTATCCCTCCAAGTACGCTTCCTGTGTGGTGCGAGGGTGCGAGCAGGCTGTGTAGAATCCCCGAATTCCGCTTGTACTGCATGAAGTGGGCATATCTTCTTTCCACCCTTCAAGCATGCCAGCATTCATGATAATAGATTTGCAGCCGCACCTTGTTCAGTATATTGCTTGCGGCAGGAGGCTCTAGCCCAGAGCTTGGTCTAATGAAGCTGCCGACGTAGGAGCTGTTTTAAGCCTGGAGCCTTCATTCCTTGTAAAAAAGCGCGCGCTGTGTGGAGCCTGTGCTACCTGGGTAGACCAAGTACCAGACATGACTTTAGCTGATAGGCACTCTAGGTAAGATCGTGTGACAACGAATGCCTGCAGCTGAACCACCTTCCCATAGATCTAGCCGAGATCTCGTGACTTTGAACTCGGAAGCTCAGAAATTCAGGCAGCATTTCAACCTGCTGCAACACCTTCCAAAAGCCTGAAGACGTCAGGGATCTTCTGCGCCCTTACCTTCAGTTCCACGCCGCTTCCTCATACCAAAAAGCAGGGATCCCTCCATGTTGGTATCCGTACTTTCCTCTTGAATTCACGACAGAAGGGCCCTAGCTTGTCCCTACGTGACCACAGAATCTCTACAAGGCCTGGAAGCTCCGTAATCCAGAACTGTCCCCAACTACCAACTGCAACACATCTCAGCCCTTGGCGAGTGCGCCATTGGCCCAAAGGCCAAGTAGCAGAAGGCCTGGCTGAAGCTGACACACCCATGTTTCCAGGTCTGGACGATGTCGGGCTTTGGAGTTAGGGCACAAGGCCTCTAAACTTTGTGAGCTTGAATTGGATGTCCATGCGCGCGTTATAAACTTAACTCTATCCCCAAGAACTTCACTTCGAAGAAACTCCGAATTAACGCGGCCCTCGCCCCTAATCCAGATTGTAACAAGAACCCTGCTTTGCAGGTCCTTCCAGAACAGTCTTCAAACAGGATTCCTGCTCCACTCCCCCAAACAAACAACGAAGGGTAAGGGAGCCTGACAGGGACGGCCGCCCTTCTAAAAAGAGGGCCGACATGGGAAAACCGATAGCAAAACAAGCACAAAGTAAGCCCTGTGTATCTGCTTACCAAGGCCGTGCATATATCCCCAGGGTCCCAGCACCGTTTTTAGGAAACGCCCACGTTAGTTTTCACACAGTCCACATGACAGCTGTCGGCCTGTCCGCTGCAGGCACGCAGCCCCCGCCATGGCATGTCCCGCCAGCGCGTACGGCTTCTCTGTTTTTCTGGGGTGTGAGAAGGAGCAGCAGTTTATTGGGTTTGGTCTGTCGTCAGGAAAATTTTCAGGTGAGTTGGGAAAGTCTCTGGGGTCTACGTTCTTGAGCAAGTGATTTGGAAGCAGGTTCGGAAGTGCTGCTGGGAGGGAGTGCTACTACGTGTAGCTTGCGTCTCGAGTTAATGAAATCCTGGCCCTAACCCAGCCAAGCACTCAACTTCACAAGACTATACCCTAGCCCTTCTTCATGGACCTGGGTTCTTCCACCGGAGCCCATGGAACCCTTGAGATGCTCGGCGCGCGCATATTCATGGACGGCCTTTCATGGCAGCAAGTACTGCAAATGCTGGGATGCAGACGAACGATTGAACTGAACAAGATGACAACGCAACAGTGAATAGGAGGTCACTCATCAGGATGGGCCTTCGCGGCTATATTGGGATAAAACATGGTTGTATTCCCTTAAATTTCCACAACCACTAAGCACCAGAAAGTAAGGACTGCACTTCAGGGATTTGCGGTTTGGTGACGACTATGACGACACCTGCCCCGGATTTTCAAGGCGGCCCCATTTCGTGCAGTTGAAGTCCATGTGGAGAATGTCGGGTGTTGGCGATAAGGCTTCTGCTTTGAGGATGGAATTAGGAGGTCCAGAAACTCAAAACCCAACCTTGTAAGCTATGACTTTTGATAGTCTGACGGCTGAAAGCCTGAAACACCATTTCGAGTAGTGTTCTAATTGGGGATATTATAGTGTCCCCAATATAGAATAGGACAATAGCGTCCTTTAGGTAATGATGCTTCATGAGAAAAATGTGATCTTGCTGCTTCAACCACCAAGAAGAAACCTCCTCACATCATTTGGTCAGATCAACGCTGTAAGGCAACCATCTCTACAATGAGGAGACTCCGAATTCGGATCGATTGAGGCAACCCGCCGCGTAGCTACAGCAACCACATGCACCACGATTCTTTCCTCCCCATTAAGCCCAGGGAAGCTTATCTCACTAATGTTCCCATCGTTATCACGCCCTTTCTGCCGTTTTATTCCGGCCAAGGACCTGGCGCGCAGTCCCTGCGGTACTTCTGCGGATCAGTACTGGGGCTCGCTCTATACATGGCAGTATCTAGCATGGTACTTCACAGAATAGGGAGATCCCAACCTACTTTAGTCCTTGTCATAGGGACCTCCCCAAAAAAGTATAGTCCCCCTTAAGAAATATGGGGTATATGGGCGTCTAATTATGATATACCCAAAGCTATGTTCTATCTACTCAGGGCGTACTATACCCCTAATATTTGGGTAAACCCCCTGCACTTAGTCTGTCATACAAAAACCTAGAGAGGATGCAGAGTTCCTCGCTGAGGGTCTTGGTTACTGAATACCATGTTCGGTTTAGGGTTTAGCGTTTAGGGCCTGATGGGCCTAGGGTTTAGGGTGTAGGGTTTGGGCTTTAGGGTTTGTGGTTCAGGGCCTAGGGTTTAGGGTGTAGGGTTTGGGGTTTAGAGTTTAATGTTGGGGCCAGACATGTTCCCCAATAATGATCCTGTCGTAGTGGTTCACTATCTACTCCCAAAAGGGAACGGCAAAGCTAATTTGAAAAAACATGCCAACGCAGATGGCTGCTGCTCGCTCATGAGCCCTGAGGTGGGTTCAAAAAAATCTGTGGTGGTTTCCCAAAAGTAGTCCTTACAACTTGGGAGATGTTGGTTCCCTGGCAGCCACCCGCGAGACAAGCCTGCCATGCTGGGCCATACCTTGGATACTGGTTCTAAGCTGAAGGATTGCTGACCTCGAGCTGAGCATTCGGGGGGTTCGGGTTTGGAGTTTAGGGATTTGAGGGGGATCAAAGTTTAGGGTACTTTTCAGGTTCCGGTTTAGGGTTTAAGGATTTGAGAGGGCTCAAGGTTTAGGGTTGGCATCAGACTTTCCCAGGCCAAGTTGTCGTAATCTGCTCTTGTCGCTTACCATCACTTACCCGAAAGTTCTATTTCCAAACTCTTCACTTGCGTTTGCCCTGCCCATCTTTTTGGGATCTTTCTGGCTAATCTCCTGCTGCCGACAGTAAATTCGAAGGTGACAACGCAAGGACCAGGATCGTGCGACGTTGGTAGCAGGGCGGATCTTTACTGCCTGCACGTTGGGCAGGGGCGGGCTGATTCACGCTCCGCATGCCTCATGTGGACATCCAACGTGTCCCAAGCTGAGGTTCAGCCCCATTGGAAAAAGTCCTTCAGCCCCTGACAATGCCTTCACAAACACATGTATTTATGCGTGCGATTGCATAAGCCAACTACATGCATGTGTGCATTATGTGGAGATAGACAAGGATGACCACAAGGGACCCACAACATTCTAGCGGCATAGGTTAGGAGGACCCCCCACCCTGTAATAGTGACCATAAGATATAATAAGAATTACTTTAGGGTCCTATTATATTCCTCTATACCACTATTACAGGATAGGGGTCCTCCTAACCCCTTTACCCTCAACCCTAAACCTAATGTAGAGGGCCAGCTGGGGAGCCAAACCGAAGTTACAAGTCGCCATCAGCAGCAGCACAGAGCGCGGCGGCGCGTTTCCATGAGCCAAAAGCCCGTTATCTGGGCTAGATGATATGACCTATCGTCTAAACTCCTAGCATCCCCTTAGTACCCCCTATAATTCTCCCTGTGCAATCCCCTAGATAATCCCCAAAATGACCCCGTTTCAGGAGTTTAGACTAAAGCTCATATTAGGCGTTTCTGTTTGATAGGGTATATGCAGGTTAGGGCTTGTAGGACTCAAGGTCTGCTAATGTAGACCCCTTTATTAATAGACCTCCCATTCATAGGGATTATCATAGGGATCCTAAATTAAGGCCCTGAAAAGGAGGGGGTTTGTTAATCATGGGTCTAAATTAACTTGTATCGCTACAGCCATCCTCAGGCTCATTGCCCATTGCCAAGTGGTCAAAATTTTGAGATCAAGCTCTCAACAAGATCCACTACTTTCAGAGTCAGGGGGGCTTTAGTAAGTAGGTTAAGGACGGAGCTGGGCTATTATGTATGCATGGCTTCTATTGGCTGTAAGTACACTTGCTAAGTCCCGCTGAGCCCCTGGGTGCATACTGCATTGAAGTTAAACATGCAGGGAGGGGTCCCGATCCGCTTCCTTAAGCCTGTGCTTTACAGCCCTATAAGACATAGTAGAAAACAATTCACTAGCGCTACCTGTCCTCGTCTCGTACATGGTCCAAACAATGTGGGACATAATGCTCACAATTAGGGCTATATTGGGTTATACTGGGGTTATATTGGGGTTATGTTAGGGTTCTATTGGGGTTATATTGGGGTTCTATTGGGGTTATATTGGGTTCTATTGGGGTTATATTGGGGTTATATTAGGGTTCTATTGGGGTTATATTGGGGTTATATTAGGGTTATATTGGGGTTATATGAGGGTTCTATTGGGGTTCTATTGGGGTTATATTAGGGTTCTATTGGGGTTATATTGGGGTTATATTAGGGTTATATTGGGGTTATAACTGATTCCTTCTGGGAAGCGACTTCCCAACTTCTGCTTTTCCACCGTCCGCGCACCCGCTCACAAGCGCGCGACCTGCTGTGCGTAGATCCTGCGCAGACAAGAGGCCCCTTAAGTACATAGAATATTGGGGTTACATTGGGGTTATATAGGGATAATGGAAAAGAAAATGGAAACTACTATTTAGGGTTTAGGATTTAGGGTTTAGAGGTGGGCTTGAGGCTTCCTGGTGGGGGTTCTATCTGGAGGCTTAGATCGGAACACTTGGTAATTCTGAAAACTGGGTTTCTATCCCAAGTATGTCATGTTGAGGGTGGGTAGGCTCTGCAGCCGAGGTTATAACTCCACTCTGGACCTACCGCCGTCTCTCCACGAAAGGGCTGGATGAGGCCACATCCATTAGAAAAAGGACGGTGAAGATTGAAAAATGTGCATGAGACCTGCTGGCAAAGCCTAACTCAGCCGACTCTCCTGCACACGTCCTCTCTGGACAAGCAAAACCTCAGACTTCAATCAGGATGCAGATTGGACAGGCGCAGTGCTTGACAGTCTAACTTCCAACATGATATGCAAGTGGGCAAGTCTCAACATGCTATCTTGGACAGAGCCCTTGGGATAGACGTCAAAGCATTGCAAAGAAATCACAGTCCCTCTTGAGTAGATAGAATATGGGGTATATGGGGATCTTATTACAAAATACCCAAAGCCATATTCTATCTGCTTAAGGGGGACTATACACCCTAAACCCTAAACCCTAAATTAGTCGTTTCCATTTTCTTTTCCATTATCCCTATATAACCCCAATATAACCCCAATATTCTATCTGCTTAAGGGGGACTATAACCTGAACCTCGCGATCAATTGTCTGATCCCCCTCATCCTTAGCAGAAACCCGGACGAGGGGCTCAGCCACGCGCGGCGGTATCATGCTCAGATCTCCTGCGCGCATGGACAGCTACCAGGATTATGCGACTGCAACTCTCTGCAAATGACCAGGGCTCAAGTACCGCGAAGGTTCACGAAATTGGCAGCGGGCTTGGAAAAATGCAAGAGGTGAGGGGCTTGATCTTTGCCAAGTCCAACCCAACCACTGGCTGCGCCACATGAGCTAGAGCCTAAACTCCTTGTATCCCCTGTAATAAGCCCTAAGATACTGCCCTATGTAGTGCCCTATATAACCCATAACCCCCCTGTAAGGAGTTTAGACTGCAGCTCAAGTGAATCTGCAACGCAACCTGCACAGGAAGAGGCCAGTCCTGGGTGCTCTGGCATCGGGGCGGAGCTTTCGCGCACAAGGGCCGCCCTCGCCTGGCTTGCGAAGGCACACCGCTTTTCTGAGAAGTAAGGGGTGGAGGGGAGGAGTGCGGGTGGTTTAACCAAAGTTCAGGAACCACCAAAACAGGACCCAGTTTTCTGGGGAAACTCCAAGACCTACAGCCTATAAACCCCCTTTAGAAGCCCGGTTTCAATTTCTTTTTCCACCCTTTCCCTTTGTACCTAAGCCGAAGCTCATCCTGGGCCGAAGCTCACCCCACCACTGCTTTGGGAGATGATGTTGACATAGCGAGAAATATGCGAAATACGGTTGATGCTACAAATCCTGCATCACCTCGGTATACCATGAAGCCATAGTTACCAAGGTACAGGGTAGTTACTGTAGGGTCAGGCAGGATGTTTAGATGCTTCAGTATCCACCGTATAGTATAATGCATATGGGTGAAAACCTGGAAACACGTGAGATTTTTCTACCCCATGTTCAGCAAGCTCCCAGGCTTGGCCTGATGGCTGGACACGGCAAGCAGATGGTCTGGCATGGGGATGACTGACACCTGAACTCAGCGATTATTAGTCTTATTTATTACTGTTCATATTATGACTATTCTTACTACTATTATTACTACAATTCAAACTATTAGAACAACTATTATTATTGCTACGATTTTTTTAACTTGCAATGCATGAACATGGCACTCCTGATGATGCGACTTACTCAGCCTCGCGCATGGCACGGGGCGTGGCCAACAGCCTGCGTGGCTGCTGCCAGGCGCTCATGGGTCCAGCCCTGGCCAGCAGCGCGTCAAGGGGATAAAGCTTTCAACGCATCCATCCCCTTCTCCTCTGTTCCCTAACCACTATCTGCGTCCCGAACGACATCCATAGCTGTGAGCAATGTGATTTCAAGTTCTCACTTGGCTTGAAGGCCTAGGTTCCGACTGATTTTGGGTGCCATGGGGAGAAGACAAACGCCATCATAATTTTGGCCGATGTTGTTCTGACTACTCTGCACGCCTCCCTGTCAGGAAACATTCTTCCTACCACAGTCCTTGCTACCGCTGACATGACTCTGAAAACCGCCACGGATATAAAAAAAAAGCGCGCGCAGCTAGCACATGCATCAATCAGCCTCCCGCATACCCTCCCAACATGATCAGGTACGCAATGCAGGGACACCCAACAAAGGACCACCTTGTTCGCAATCATGGTACTAACCCATGTTTCATGCGCCTCGCGCGTGAAGAGCAGTAGCTCATCGCAGGTGTGCCCGGGCTGCAGGCAGGCACGGGCCTCTGAAGCTGGCATGGTCATGGTGTGATCCAGCGCAATTGCCTGTCAAGCCTGTGAAAAAGTGGTAGGCCCGGAACAAATCCCTGGAACAATCCTGAGAAAAAAAAAATCTACAGCATATCTTTGGGAGTTCATTTGCTGACACAGACTGGAGCATCCAGTGCAACAGTAAGCTGAGCTCGTAGCTTTGCATGCCCAATGTTTCATGCCCTCGAACACGTCAGCGCCTGGCATGATGGCATCCAAAAAATTAAGACATGTATACCATCGACTGCACAGCCACAAAGGACCTGGATCACAAGCGAAATGTGTCTGTACTGGGGGGGGAATCATATGAAGAGAGCCCCAGAAAACGCTTTCTATCAATTCAATGGACCTGACGGTTGATGCTCGGGGTCCAACTTCCTTTGCCAACCCTTCACCAGGATGACAAGCGCGTCAACTGCCACAACGCCTTTGGAGGCGAGCAACCGCACGGGGCAGAAAGCAGTGCCCAAGGCACGACGTCATTTTTGAATTCACCTATGTTTGCATGGGGATGCAGGATGCTGCTGTGCATCCGTATGCGAGGACCCATCACCACCAAAGCGTCAGTCACTTGATCTCATGTTCTCTGCCCGGAGCACTGGCACCCAGCAAAACCACCGGTCGCCACTCCTCATCGGCTAAAACCTCTTCCAATGAGAAACGGAACTCCCAAGCACCATAGCTGCCACCCCCTGGCTGCAGCTTGCAACACTCAGAAACTTGCCGGCTTCCAACCTTCGTGTATTCCGCAGCTGCTTTTATGGTCTCGAAGGACAACCATGGGCTTGAAGTTCCAAAGAGCCTAGCCTCCACTGGTTTGCCGTGGCTTGTCTGAAAATCTTGCCCGTCCCGCAGTAAATAGGAATGTCGGATGTTCTGAGATGGTGTAACATACTCTAAATTCTGCACATGATTGTTCTGGCGGTCGCCGTCTTTGTGATTGACTTGCATATTCGGGGCAGATGGCTGGCCCAGAAAGGTCCCGGCAACAAGCCGGTGCACCAAGTAATGCCGATTGTTCTTCTGCACAGAGTAATACCCGCTTCCTGTCCTGCTTCCGCGTGAGACGGCCCAATTGCGAGTGTGTCTGATCCGTCCGTGGTCGCTGATCATGAGGTTCTCAATTGGATCACCGCAACCTGCATGCCTGGCATTTTTCCACACTTCGTGCTGAAAAATGTCCGCCTGCGTGAGATCCGCAACGACCGAAGTCGGGGCAGCTTTCAGCTCCAGCGAATCACCGCCATTGCGATGACATACGGCAGCATTTCGAATATAATGGGAGACTTTGGCCGCAGATACCCCCAACACGCGGGAGGCTTCACTTTGCGAAGGAAAGGAAGCCCAAAATTTCTCCCCACATATGCGCCACAGAACTGCCTTGCCTGGCTGTCGGCTGGTCCTGCCTCCACTTGTCCAGGCATGTCGCGCGTTTTCACTTCCAGTCGCATACTGCAGGTTCGTCACACAATTGTTGGACCTGTTGCCGTCCATGTGATTCACCTGCCACTGGTCCACACTGGATGGTGGTCCCAGGAAGGCAACAGCTACCAGCCGATGTACAAGGTATGACTTCCTCTCAATCCTCACACGTCTATACCCATCAGAGGTCATCCAGCCATAGCTGGTTACACCAAGGGAGGATCTCACACGGCCATGTGAGCTCACTTGCCAGGAGCTGGCTGCCTGCCGAACATAGGTTGCCTGCCCTGCCAAGGAAACACATGGCCGCCAACATCTCGCTGAGAACATGGCCTCGTCCTACGCCCGCTGATGCCCAGGATAATGCTTTTGCTCCCTCCAGAGCGCCTCATCAGATAGAACTCGCAGAGGCCATAACGTTGCAGAGCAAACAAAGTAAATGAGGTACTACCATTTTCCTTTTGGCACTGAAAAACCCTATCCTGGCTCTATGAATCTTGCATTTCATGCGAAGTCTTGTCATCCAGATGTGGGATGCAAGCCATGCTTTTGCAGAACTTGAGTCCAAAATGTGCTCCCGGATGGCCTGTCAAGATGCTAGTGCAAGGCCGAAGAAGACTTCGCATCATTATGCCTCAGGGACACCGGAGGTGCAACAAGCCTTTCAACAATTCCGTTTACAGCCTTGCAGAAAAATCAAGGATAACTGTACCACGCATATCTATTCCTGTGCCATTCCGTGTGCCTTCCTTGCTCCCGCTCTGGCAGGCGGCGTAATTACCAGCGACTTGTGTCTGTTGATTCCCTTCCCGTGTGCCATGCCTCCTGGCTTGCGAGCCAGCTCAAGCAAGCGTTGCTAGATGCAGCCACTGGAATCAAGTTTGGCCCGTGCAGCCGCCAAGTAATTTTCTGGCCTCGTGCTCGACCATGCCATTCCTGCCCACTGGCGCACCACAGCAGCCAGGAGCTTGACATCTGGAATCTAGAGCGTCTTCACGTCAGTCCTCTCAGTCCTCAGACATGCAGCCAGGCGTGCGACGAGCTCCTGCCAAAACAACTTGCCGCCACTCCTCGCCTTCAAGGACCTCCTGAACAGCGGGTTGGAACTGCCAGCCAGCAGTCCTAGCCTTGGAAGCACTAGCAGCACATCCTTTGCAGCTGCCCGAAATGATATGGTTCTTGACGCCTGTGTGTGCTGCTGCAGCCTTAATGTTCTCAAATTGTAGCCAGCCAATATCCGATTCCAGTGATCGCGCCAGGACCGGCTTGCCGTTCCGCATCCATCCTTGCTGTCCCTGTCTTTGCAAAAGGGCATGTTTCACGTTTTGCGACAGGGTCAGGTATTCCAGGTTGTCCACGTGATTGTTTCCGCGGTCCAAATCTTTATGATTGACATGCAAAGCTTTCGACGCAGGTTGACCGAGAAAGGTTGCAGCAACTAAGCGGTGCACTTGGAGAAAGTGCCCTCTCTTCCTCACCACGTAATAACCGTTACGCCTGCGGTGTCCATGGCTTAAATGCTGGTGCCTACACCAGGTCGACAGAACTCGTCCGTGGCTGCTGATCATGAGGCTATCGATAGGACCTTCCAGACCCGGATACCTGGCCGGCCGCCAAGCCTCGCCAGCCAGCATCTTGGGCTCATCGGCCAGAAACTTGAACTCGTACCGGATGCCGCCTCCAGAGCAGGCAGGCACCAAACCTCGACAGCATCTCGAGATGCAACTTGGGCTTACGTTCAGATTTCTTGCAGCTTCGCTTTGCGAAGAAAACTCAGACCAATCATTGCCACCGGCAACTCGACACCAAACTGGCTTGCGTAGTTGCAGGCTGCTCGCTTTGCGATTCAAGTTGGTCGACCAGGAGTGCTTACTGTTCTCAGCTTGCGTGACATACCGAAGGTTGGCCACACAGTTGTTGGCAGGATCCCCATCAACATGGTTCACTTGCCACTGCGCCACACTTGGGGGCGGACCGGTGAAAGCCGCTACAACCAGCCGGTGGACGTAGTAGCCATATCCCCCAATGATTGTCCGGTAATAGCCAGTGTCTTTACGTGAACCAAAGCTCACCCGACCCGTGGGCGTTTTAACTCGGCCAAATGAGCTTACCTCCCATATGCCGGCACTGCATCTCTTCTGTGTGGCTGCACAGTTCAGCACACGACCCCAAGACCTTAGCCAAGCCATCCTGAAGCGAGAAGCGTAGGGTTTGGGGTTTAGGGTAATCCTACTGTCTACTTCCCGCTGGAAGAAACTCTCCCGCTTTGATCTTGACACTGCCACGGCCTCACATGCATAGTAGATTGAAACCTGCGGCTGACACCTGGACTTACTGGTGGTTAGCATGGAGTAAAGGAATATGCTTTCATAGGGCTTACGCAGGGATTATATTCCCCACTAACCCCAGATCTAACCCTACACATGTTCGGATGTTCTCTCCAAATAAGTTTAGATCATATTCCCTGTTCGTCGCTAACCACCATTAAGGTGATGTATTCAGCACAGCTTCAGCTGGCAGAACACTTCATGTGCGCACCAGTCCCCTCAGCTTGGCCTGCATGACAGACTCATAGTATACTATACGGTACTTCACTATAATGTACAAGAATAACTGTAATACATTACAACATACTATGATATATTACAACCTACCATATTCTTCCCTGTCCTGCCTACAGCCCAGGTCAGCGTGCCGCGGCCAGGGCCACCAAGCAGTGCCCTCAGCCTAGGCAACACCCTAACCTATCGCTGTCCACGCAAAGCTGCTCGGATCTCACAAGAAACTTCATCCACGCCGTGCTCGCCTGTGAGATTGGCTCTTAGAACTTCCCTTGTGAATCCTTAACACTTAATTGGTCCTGAACTGTTCTTCTGGTTCATGCGCATGAGCCCTCCAAGGCCGCTGCACTCTGAAGAGTTCTACCTCAGCTGCTGGCCAAGGCCAGTGACTCTTGCATTCTTGTTGTGCAGAGGCTGGTGATCAATGTCGTAAATTGAAAGTGGCGTGCAAAGAGGTCAACCTGCTGATGGCGACAGCTGCTACAGCAATAGCATTTAGCAGGACTTGATCAGTAGCAAGCAGCTCTGCTATTCAATCTTATCTACTACCTCATGAGAAGATCCATTGAAATCATGCAAAAACGTGACAACAACCCTAGACCCAAAACCCTTTAATGGTAAACATGACAACACCCCTAAGTCCTAATTAGAATGGTAAGCATGACAACAACCCTTCCAGCATCCCGAGGCCCAGGCTGAGGTCCCAAGCTCACACTAAGCTAACACTACACATTACTTCTGCAGCCATACTTTAGGGGCCACCCTAACCCTAAACCCTGAAGCCTAAACTAAACCCTAAACCCTAAATCCTAGGGTTTCGGACCGAGCCTAGTGCA